ATGAGGCAATACAATTTTTGTGTGCCAATTCTCCAGTCCAGCATTTCTCCCTCAGCCTGGAAAAACTATCCGTTTAAACCGAGGATCGCTCCACACTCCCCGCTTTATCTTTGTTTATCGCTTTATCTATCAATTTCATTAAGCAGTCCACTGGTAGTGGCTGCGATAAACGGCATGGTTCCTTAAATTCACGGGAAATCCAGTGACCGGGATTAGACTTCTCCGGGCTGATAAGAACGCTTTTATACAACTATTCGTGCTCTATGGACGTGCGTGTTGCATTTGACAAAATTGAAGGCGTTTTGGTTACTCCGATCCATGAAGCAGTTCACGCTGTAGCCTGTAGCGCGTGGGGCGCTGTTACGAGTGAAGGCTAAGGAGAAAGGACAAGAGGCTGATTATTGAAATTGACAGACCATGCGATAGACAGAAAAGTCAAAGGGAAAATGGAGCGAGCCTGTTGGCGGAAACGGGTGATTAAATGGACAAAGAAGATATACCAACTGATGGCAACCCACAAGAGATCGTTTGGTTAGTACATCATTTTGCCCATTAGTCAATGACAGCCACTCGTTTCAACCAGTAGGATCGCTCAAATTTCAGTTTCAGTCATTTTCAGAGCTACACTGAAAAAAAATTCTCGGCGTTTTTACCAAGGTCCGTTGGTACCTTTACCATCTCACTTTTTTTACCAAATATTGGTAATTTTACCAAGACAGACTGGTAAGCTTACCTAAAAACCGGTATTTTTACTGTTTTTTTTTCAGGTAAGAATACCACTTTGATTGGTAATCAATTCCCGGTAACTTTGCCATTTTGTCTCCGTAATTCTACCACAGTCGATAAAAAATATCGGCGTTTTTACCAAGGTCCAGTAAAATTATCGAGAAAGTTCAATAATTTTACCGAGATTTCTCGGTAAAATTACCGATTCCGTAAATGGTAATTTTACCATTTTGTCTCCGTAATTCTACCACAGTCGATAAAAAATATCGGCGTTTTTACCAAGGTCCAGTAAAATTATCGAGAAAGTTCAATAATTTTACTGAGATTTCTCGGTAAAATTACCGATTCCGTAAATGGTAATTTTACCAAGAAAAAACTGGGATCAAGAGAACCCTGAATTCTTCGTAATTTTACCCTTTTCTTAGTAAATACACCAAATTTTTTTTTTCAGTGCAAGAGATCGTTTGGTTAATACATCATTTTGCCCATTAGTCAATGACAGCCACTCGTTTCAACCAGTGGGATCGCTCGATTTTCAGTTTCAGTCATTTTCAGAGCCATCATTTTCAATAATCAGCCCGATGACCCTGTGCTCATCTATTCGGTTCCGTTCTATCGGACTCGATCCGGACGATCAGATGCCCGGAGAGCGGAAACGAATGCGTGACAGCTGAGTGAGAGGTGTGTGACAGTCGTGTGACAGGCGTGTGTCCGGGATGGAACATGTTGTGGTAAGGCGGTGTGGCAGCGCGGGCGAGTCAATCGGGCCACTCATGGCGAGCAACGGGCGATGGGAATCAGAATCGCGTGTGAATCGGACGGAGAGCACCGCGACTCGCAAATGGAGCGGAAAGAAAAACCGTCGACGCGACGCTTGTTTTTCGGGTCGTCGCACAGTGGTTCGAGTCAATGGAGATGTTGCATGTGTGAGGAATTTGCGATTTGACTGTTGATTATAACGTAATAACGCCTAAAATTTTCCAGGACTAATGGAGAACAACAAAGATCACACAATTTTCACATCCATTTCGCGAAAAATGCACGATTTTCTTATCGATGCGCGCATAATACTCTTCAACGTCGCTAATTTGAGGTAGGCGAAAAGCTAAGAATTCCCTTCAATTTTGCGTGATACCACAAACCCACTCCGGAGTTCGAATAGTTGCTCGCTTTATATTTACCGGTTTAAAATTGTAGAATAGCGTAAAATTCGTGTCAAAATCGCGATACCTACCCGATTTTTTTAGCGGATTCGTTGAATCTCAGTCAATCATCCGCGTTTCATCTTCGTTTGGAAGGTGTTGCATGTGTGAGGAATTTGCGATTTGACTGTTGATTCTTATGTAAAAGTTCGTGAGAAACACGATGGTGCCACTGGTTTTCTCTGAAATCAACTCCCAAGCTCAAAAAAAGCTCTCAAGTTGAGGCCAAAATGGAGGGGATATCCCACACTACCCTGAGAGTCCACCTCTACATCAAGACAAACTCTCCATGCACAGATCGTCACCTCCCAGGCAAAGTATCACAAGCGCCATGCGACGTTTAAAAATTTCCGCCGCCATTTTATTTCTTTACTGAGAAATTGTTCGTTGAATCTGTTTGGAAATTTCACTAAATTTTATCGGCAGCACAAAGAAAATTCAGTGAAATTTTCGGACAGCTTCGTTGAACAATTTCTCCGTAAAAAAATAAAATGGCGGCGGAAATTTTTAAACGTCGCATGGCGCTTGTGATACTTTGCCTGGAAGGTGACGAGATAGGGAGCAAATACATTGACAGGACTGCCACTTTATTTGGGGACTCCAAAACTGAAAACACGGCAACCCTGCTAATGTATTTGCTCCCTATCTTTGCATGGAGAATTGGTCTTGATGTAGACGTGGACTCTCAGGATAGCGTGGGATATCCCCTCCCTTTTGGCTTCAACTTGAGAGCTTTTTTTAAGCTTGGGAGTTGATTTCAGAGAAAACCAGTGGCACCATCGTGTTTCTCGCGAACTTTTACATATGAATCAATAGTCAAATCGCGAATTCCTCACACATGCAACATCTCCGTTCTGTCCGACCTCTCCTATCGACTCGATCCACTGTGCGTGGATCCCTCCCGCTTTAGAGCGGCCTCGGACGAGAGTGGTCGAGTGGACGCACGTCATGACGTCATGAGCTCGTCCCTATTTTTCACTCGAGTGTTAATCCCTCCCCAGGCACTGGGTCGATCGCCGCCCGCCGCCCGCCGCCCGCCGATTCGCCGGCTCAGTTTCGCCGTCGCGGAATCGGAAAGAGCGTCAATAAACGCACCAAGTCGCATTTTTTTTTTTTTTTTTTTTTTTTTTTTTTTTAAGGAAATGAGCTGGGAGTAGTAATGAACTGTATGTATAAGAGAGCTTTTATAGCGCTCTCTGGCGCTCTGCGACACCCAGCCGCCAAAGTCCCCTATCCCCCTCATGGAGTTGGCAAACCCTCATTTCTTCTACAGAGTGTCTACAAGTCCAAAATTTCCGGAAACAGTACCGATTTTTTAAGGGGAGTCCGGAAGTTTTGAAAAAGTGCGGAAATTCCGCAAAAGGTCCGGAATTTTTTTCATTTTTCAGTCATTTTTGTCTCGATTTGAGCGAGAAATTCAAATTTTTGAAATTTTTCGGATTTCGTCAAATGGAGGCACTGAAGAAGTACTGAAGTTTTCTATTGAGGAGGCACTGAATTTTTTGGGAATGTACTGAAAAAGTACTGTAAAAGTACTGATTTTGGGCCCGCCTATTCTAGTAGTAGACACACTGAAAAAAAATATCGGTGTATTTACTAAGAAAAGGGTAAAATTACCAAGAATTCAGGGTTCTATTTGATCCCAGTTTTTTCTTGGTAAAATTACCATTATTGGAATTGTACCGAGAAATCTCCGTAAAATGATTGAACTTTCTCGGTAATTTTACTGGACCTTGGTAAAAACGACAATATTTTTTATCGACTGTGGTAAAATTGCCGCGATAAAATGGCAAAGTTACCGGGAATTGATTACCAATGAAAGTGGTATTCTTACCTGAAAAATACACTAAAAATACCGGTTTTAGGTAAGCTTACCAGTCTGTCTTGGTAAAATTACCAATAATTGGTAAAAAAAAGTGAGATGGTAAAGGTACCAACGGACCTTGGTAAAAACGCCGAGAATTTTTTTTCAGTGCACCCTGCAAGCAAAAAGTCCGATTGAATCGAGAGTATTTTTCCTCGCCAATATGTTTAAGAGTCTGGACTCTAGATCCAAACGACTTTGTGGTCCAGTGTACGTCTGTATAGCCCGCCCGTAAGTACGGCCTCCGCAGGCGGCATTTGTATCCAGTGTATCATCATGCTTTGCACTAGAGTCCCTTTATACTGAGAGTCAAGACAATGTGAATCCATTTCTGATTGGTTCCCTTATTTTAGGCCTTCACAGTGTCACAAACGGGAATAAAAATTACATTTTCACCGATTGCAAAGATTATAATCTGGAGTGGACCAGGGAATCACGGGTTCGGCAAGGAACAATCGGAATGAGAGAAGGAACGGAGAAAGGAATTTAAGAATGGGCCGATCAAAGATTACAAAGAACGTTCGATGGACCACTAGACAAGGTACGAATTTAAGCATTCTGATACATGTTTCTTAACAATAATTTCACGCGAAACACGATTCGCAAGACGAAAATTATTGAAACCAACTCCTAACGAAGATATTAACGTTTTTATTTCACATTGGTTACGAGGAATTTGAACTGCCCGCTCACAAGAAACTCAAAGCTCTACTCGAGTCAAATCGCGCGCTACAACGGTTTCAGCAAGCTTCTTCATCGAGCAATGTTCATTTCCCATCATATGTTGTTCAAACCACAAGAAATTTGCTATAGCTGAGCCAAACCGTCGAGATTGAGGTTTCCAGATTTTTATATCGCAGAGACTATCATGATGAACGTTTAGCGCGCGATGTGAATCACGTAGAGCATTGAGTTTTCATGAGCGGGCGGTTTGAATTCACGCATCATGAATCATTGAATATCTTCGTAAGGAGTTGATTTCGGTAACTTTTGCTATGCGCATCGCATTTTACGTGAAATTTTGGTTCAGAAACATGTATCAGAATGCTGAAATTCGTACCTAGTCTAGTGGTCCATTTCTGTAATCTTTATTCCCGTTTGTGACTCCATGAGGGGTGTTGTCTTGACTCTCAGTATAAAGGGACTCTACTTTGCACCTTGTCCAGTGGACTATCGTGGATTTATCGATGGATTTGGGTGTGTTTCAGGTTCGACAACCCGGCCTCGGTGACGAGTTGGCCGACGCGGCAGCTGTCGTACAACTACTTGATGACGGTGAACCTCCAGCTCCTGTTCTTCCCGTGCGACCTCTGCTGCGACTGGACGATGGGCACCGTCCCGCTCGTCGAGTCCTTCGCCGACCGCCGGAACCTGGTCACGCTCCTCGTCTACTCGGCCGTCGCCGTCTTCGCCTACGTCGCCCTCTCCTCCGAGAACCGACTCCAGAGCAACGCTATGATCATGGTAAGTAATAAGCCATAGAGTACGTAGAGTCGTAATCAGGGCCGGATTTACCCATAGGCTACATAGCGACGGTGAAACTACCAAACCACGTATCTCGTTTGCGGTGTTTAAAAATCTACGCTCACATTTTATTTTTTTGAAGTAGACCAAATCAATATCATTCCTTGAAATTTTCACGGAATTTTCTCCGCACAAAGAGAAAAAATCACAGAAATTTTCAAGACTGGATGGTAAGTAGTTTTTCATTTAAAAAATAAAGTATGACAGGAAGTCTGCGACGTCGCAAACCGAGATACGTGGTTTGGTAGTTTCACCGTCGGTAGGCTGTAGCCTAAGGCGCAACATTCTGAGGGGCGCAAAATTGTTGAGAATTTTTTTTTTTAATTTAACGAGTCTTTTGTTTCTTTTTATCTTCCAAAACCAACTTGCAAACGTAACCGTACCTCAAAACTGTTTAAAATCGTGTTTTTTAAAGGTGAATTTAAACATTTTCCCGACACCTAACATTCCTTCTGATCTGGAGGGGAGGGGCGTCTGGGGAACCCCCCCCCCTCGAGAGCGCCTACTTTTAAGGGCGCCACCCTAAGTTTAGCCTATGGCGCTAAAAATGTAAATCCGACCCTGGTCGTAATGTAAATGGGAGAGCTGGCGCCATGTTCTGCTCGACGAGTTCCGAGCCCGGTGTGCGCCGAGTTCGGGCCACTTTTTCGATACATGTTCGATCCAAAATGGCGGTGTGGAATACGTGGTGATTCCTATCCTCTTTGTTTACATCGGATGGCCGGGTACCCGTGTATCGCAAACAATCGATTATGTATCGAGAAAGTGACCCGGCGTCACACAGGAATCTCGGAATTCGGGACCTGGAAAATGCTTAAAAGTGGCGCCAGCTCACCCGCTTACATTACGACTCTATGTACTCTATGTAATAAGCCCACGCTGCAGGAAAAATGGACAGAGTTTATCAAGAAGCAGGGTGTCTAGCATCAGGATTTTCCCGACTTTCCCGATTCTATAGCCCTGGATAGACGATCGAATTCCCGAACCAACTCCGATCAAAGCAGCATCAAAGTGTCGGGAGTCATCAGTCTCAAACTCATTAATTTGCTTCGATTTAAAATGAAAACTCGGCAGAAATGTTTCCTGTGGCAGGAAATGACGAATGGTGGCACTCCGTTCTGATCTTACTTTGATCAAAAAAGTGCGGCCCGTCAAAATTTGATGGTAGATGGTGACCACCAGTCATCAGCATGTCTACTTTGATCGGAATTGGTTCGGAATTTGATCGTCTATCCAGGGCTTATCAGGATTTGAGGTCAAACGGGATTTAATCCCGATTTCATCAGGATTTAAGGAAAAATCGGTCGTAAAATCAGGATTCGAGAAAAGTCGGTCGTAAAATCAGGATTTGAGAAAAGTCGGCCGTCCGATCGAATTTTTAAATCGAGCTATTTTTGTGAACTCAAAGTTTCTTCGCCAAAAATCAGGATTTAATCAGGATTTGGAACAATCATGAAATCAGGATTTATCAGTCAAAAATCAGGAAAAATCAGGATTTCATCAGGACTTCCCTAAATGAAAAAAAAACTAGACACCCTGCAGGAAAGGAACCAACGCAAATTTCTAACAAAATTGAGTTCAGATGATTCGATACCTAGACGCCATATTTTGTGTCAGAACGACATGCGACTTACCGACTAGTTCCTCAAGTACTCGTCGTTTTTCTCGAATTTTAAGATGCAATTCTGTTGCCAGGAGACTAAAAATGTCACTTGCCAATTTTTGACAAACAAATTCAACGTAATAAAGCGTGGTTTTTTTAGAGGAAGAATATCGCATTTGATAATACCGATTTCGAAACTGCACTCGAATGCGATATTTCCTCCCTAAGAAAACCACGCCTACATAACATTGAATTTGTTTGTCAAAATTGGTCAGTGAATTCTTTAGTCTCCTGATAACATAATTGCGATCTCAAAATTCGAGAAAAATGACGAGCAATTGAAAAAATGGAACTAATCGATGCGATATATCGCAGATCGTTTTGACACAAAGAATATCGTCCATCGAATCACTTTAAGAACGTTTTCGAGCTCCACTAGCCGTATATTTTCTCCCGCCAAAAACTGAAAGTCGAAAAATAGAAAAATTAGTTTGTGAAAAAAGGGGTTAAAGTTTATCTTTTACATTGAGCCCTATGCGGTAATGAAGCTTCAAACCTCTTTTTCTCAGTTCCAACTTAATAAGGGTTGGTTCCTTTCTGATGAACTCGGTCCAAATGGGAGGGTTTAAGGTGATTCGATGGAGGCCATTTTTGGTGTCAGAGCGACGTGCGATATATCGCATCGATTTGTTCCATAATTTCAGCTACTTGTCATTTTTTCGAATTTTGAGATCGCACCTCTGTTGTCATGAGACTTAAGAGCTCATGTACCAAATTTGACAAAGAAATTCAACGTATTAAAGGCGTGGTTTCTTTTAGAAGAAAAATTATAGCATTCGAGTGCAGTTTCGATATCAGTATCGAATGCGATATTTTCTCTCTAAAAAAAACCACGCCTTTATTACGTCGAATTTCTGTGTCAAATTTGGTGCATAAGTTCTTAAGTCTCATGACAACAGAAGTGCGATCTCAAAATTCGAAAAAAATGACAAGTAGCTGAAATTATGGAACAAATCGATGCGATATATCGCATCAATTGGTTCCATTTTTTCAGCTACTCGTCATTTTTCTGCAATTTTGAGATCGCAATTCTGTTGTCAGGAGACTAAAGCACTCACTTACCAATTTTAACAAAGAAATTCAACGTAATAAAGGCGTGGTTTTTTTTAGAGAGAAAATATCGCATTCGATACTGATATCGAAACTGTACTCGAATGCGATATTTTCTCTCTGAAAAAACCACGCCTACATAACATTGAATTTCTTTGTTAAAACTGGTAAGTGAGTGCTTTAGTCTCCTGACAACAGAATTGCGATCTCAAAATTCGAAAAAATGATGAGTAGCTGAAAAAATGGACCCAATTGATGCGATATATCGCATGCCGTTCTGACTCAAAATATGGCGTCCATCGAATCACCTTAAAACGTAGACGGTCTACTTTCATAGTAAATAACTTTGTTATTTCTTGTGCGATCCCCTCAACGCCGCAGCTCAAAATGTAAAAAATTGGAAATTTGAGCCACGGCAACATGGCAACAATGGACGAAAATCGCAAAATGGACCAATTCTGTCAATATAATTTTTTCTTTTTCAGACCAAGATCATCTCCATACAACCAACCGTTCACGAGATATGTCATTCCAAAGTTTTAACTTTAACCCCCCCCCCCTCCCCCTGAATCATCCGATTTCAGAAATCGTCAGGATTTTGAACTCGGGAAATGATCCTCTATCAACCCTAAAATATTTCGAAGATTTCTCCGAGGTTAAAAATGATCGATTTTGACCAAGTTCCTGCACCTGTTTCGAGCAAATAGAGAAATTGTTTTGTGAAACTTTTTCAAAATTTGCCTTGAAATTGAGCTCCTACTCCTACGGCTTTGACTCTGTCATTGTACATATGATGAATGTTTCAGTCGTGACTAATTAATCTTATTTCTAGTTTTTTTTTTTTAAAAAGTTACATGTGTATTATTATTTATGACTAATCACTATTTGTGCATATTCCAGGGTCTCGCTTTTCTGGTGTTGCCATTCTTGCCAGCATCGAATTTATTTTTCCCCGTTGGATTCGTCATTGCTGAGCGAGTCCTATACATGCCTTCAATGGGTTTTTGTCTACTGGTTGGCTGCGGTTTTGGGTTTCTCCTCGAAAAAGGGTAAGAATCTTCGTCGACAATCTTATTCTATTTGTACTTTCGCCCCATAGTCCTAAGACGATTGCCAATGAAAGCATTGGCGGATCCAGAAAATTGGCAACAATGCCTTCTCTCCATTTATAACCATGGAAATATATCGATTCTTAGAGGGGCCAGGTGCTCCGCCAAGAATCGATTATTTAGCATAGTTTAAATGGAGGGAATTCGGTGTTGCCAAATTGCTGAATCCGCCTCTGAATGAAAGACCATCCGGGAGAGTGGGAAATCAAAACACACGACATATCAATGGCTGAAGAGTGAAACCACAAATGAATTGCGTTTTGCAAAAAGGAACCAAGAGCATTCCAATGTTGCTAAAATTTTCCAACTTACATTCTTTGCCACTAAATACTGAAACCATACAAAAAATTAATCTTACAAAGGTAATTTTCGTCTTGAATTTACAATTCATCGAGAGTAAAGTTAAAACTTGCTTAGATGATCAGTTTATATTTGCAAGGTTAAAAAAGTTGTAAAATCTCTGCAACATTGGAATGCTCTTGGTTTCTCTCTGCAAAATGCAATCCATATGTTAATTGCGATGTTTCATAATCTGCTCCTACATAGTTTTTTTGAAGAGAAACAAGTCAACTATATACTTGAAATTTCTATGGAATTTTCTGCGAATATAGAAGAAAAACCAAGGAAGTTTTCAGGAAATTAAGTTGCCTAGTTTTCCAATGAAAAAATAAAGTATGACAGGACGTCTACAATGTCACAAACGGAAATAAGTGGTTTCGCTCTTTGGCCATCGATATCTTCTCAACTCCTCGCCTGAAATTTTACAAAGTTCTCAAGTAAGGAATTACTGCGTTTTTTGTGTTTAGAAGTTTGCTGTTAAGGAAATTTCTCAGAGTGCTGCACTTTCTTCATGGCAACTAAGGGTAAGCAGCCCCTAGTATTAAGGATGTAAGCGAATATCCGCAAGACTACACTCTGGCAATTGCTGGAATGTACATCGTATAAGTACATTTCCGAATAGGTATGCATTCCGTGTATGGCCGAATTCCGTACTGTCAATGGGATTTTTTGGAAGCGAAAAAATTTACCCATCAAGTTATGATTATGTGAAGTTTAATTGTTGTATCCTCGGTTTCAGCCGCTACAAGAAGCTAATCTGGCTTGGTATGGCGATCTTACTCCTGTCTCATGGCACCAAAACGTACGTCCGCAACTGGGATTGGGAGTCAGAATATTCGATATTTACGGCCGGTCTAAGAGTGAATCAGCGAAATGCTAAACTTTACAATAATGTGGGCCACGCTCTCGAGTCACAAGGACGCTTCCAAGAAGCCTTAAACTATTTCCAAAAAGCTGTCAGGTTGGTTTCAACTTTTTATTTACCTTTTGTAATATCGGATGAAATAAGTAATAAATATTAGATTATGAGAAGTAACGTGGCAGTCGCCCAGTTCAAATAAGAGGAATTTCATAATCTGGAAGTCATTGTCGAGCAATTTATTTTGTATTCGTAAAACTTTATGTGATGAGGTACAAATTAGGTGTGTATACCATTGAAACAAGTCCTCCATGATTTATTTGTGATTTTTTTCTGAAAAAAATTTTACACGAGATATTATTTTGGCTTAAAGCATTGTCTCTCATTGACATAATGGTGTTTTTTTTTTAGTTAAATCTGTGCGGATTCAACCTAAAGTCAGTTTTTTTTTAGTTAAAAAAGCGTCGTTTTGTTATTGCTAAGTTCAACTTTAAAGAACGATAGCACAACGTTTCTTTAACTCGGAAAAATTGACTTAAAAAAAAAACAAATTTTGTCGATGAGAAACGATGCTTTAAGTCAAAATAAGATCTCAAGAATTTTTTTTTTCAGTTAATAACATGATCAACATTTTTGATTGGTTTACTCTTTCCGATGAGTGATTCAGAGTAGATGAACCACTGAAAGAAAAATAGGTACCTAAAAAATTAGGAGCTCTCTCAAAAAGAATCTCGATGATTCTCCACTGTGGACATTTGGAGTTTAGTATGTAGTACCTAATCATGAAAATAATTTTTACTCTTAAATAATTGTGAGGTAAAATTTAATTTTAATTTGCCTCTTTTATTGCCGTGCCAAGGTAAAACACTGTGCAAACATGTTAATGTTGCCATATTTCCTCTGATAAAAATGTATTTCTGAAGAAAGTCATGCATATGTTTATTTGATGTTATCAGAAATAAGAGATAAAATTGCAACCAAATTGTCTAGAAATTGAACGATGAAGGTTTACAACTTTCCCAATGAATTTTTATTTTATCAAGCAAAATTTGTTAACACCTCAAGGCCTCAAGACCGTTTTTTCTCAGTGAGGCAGTATTGTGACATTGACAAGAGAAAAATCTTACAATTCGTAGAAATAAAACAATTTTCTTTACATCATTTGTATCTCTGCCATTGAAAAAAAACATCATCAAGGAACCACGAAGCAACGAAAAATTCGAAAAAAAACGAGGTCATTTATTAATTTTTTGTGACTTATCTACAGCAGAATTCCTTAATTTCTCCTATTTTTTCAGTGTACAAGAAGATGATATCGGAGCTCACATAAATGTTGGGAGAACATACAATCACTTAAAAATGTTCAAAGAAGCAGAGGCTGCCTACTTGAAGGTCAGTAAAATGTTTGTTCTCATTATGATTTTAGAATCGTCACTATTAAAAAGGGCGGGGGGAAGTCCATTTTACAAAATCGGTTTTATGTTTGCATTTTTGAACCCTCCAGTTGTCTTCACCGTACTACCCGAAAAATGAGTGGTGAGCTGCTTCTTTGAGTGACAGATGCTTAGTAATGCTAATTTTACATGCTAAAACTGCTAAAAAAAGCAAAATTAAAAATTGGACCATCGGCTTTTTTTAAAATACCGATTCTAATTTAACAAAATTTGGTAAGTATGTACACAGAAAGAGGAGAAAATGTTTCACCTTTACCTTCATAAATTTTTGGCATTTTTTCCTCTTATCATGTGAGTTTTCACAACCATTGGAAGAGAGATGGCAGAAAAACTATTACTTTGAAATTGAAAATAGAACACTTTCGCGGTCAAAGGACCTTGACTGGAAAACAAAGGAATTCAGCGCTGATAAATTTCATTACTATTTAATATGATGTCCTTCGCAACCTCTTGAATATGGTCAGCTGTCAATGCGGAGCTTTCCTCTTGACAGTATTGAGGAAAATAGGTCTGAAAAGTGAATGTTTCAGAATTTTTACATAATTTAGTCATTGAATTGGCTGCTTGTTTTGCTGGCTGGTTTTTTATAACTGCTGTGTCGAATATGCAGTGCTTATTATCCTGAAGATGTTGATGCAAGGCTCTGCAGCATCATTCTTATCTTTATGGCCGTCGCATGGCAAAGAACTCCCTTCAATCTGCTACATTTCTACTAGAAAGTATGTACATATATTTCAGTGTGTGTGAAGTACTGAGAAATTATTTTTCCAGCCCTGCTTATCTCGAATTGGCCCAAAGGAAGCTAATTTTAAAAGGTCATCTTGAGCAGGAAGTCGTTAAGAGCATCATAAAAAATAACAAAATTTAATTGGTGCCAAATTCTTCGGTATTCCTTGCAGGGTCTTATAAATTTTGATTACAGTAATTGCTCCTCATGTAGATGTTGATTGTCAATGAAAATTATCATTATAATTAAATCAGGGACTATTTGAAAACAACCTACCTGAAAATTTTCTCCGAGTGTTTGCTAACACGTTAAGTTCCTCTTTCTCTGTTTAATGGCATTGTTTTTTCTTTTTTTTAGGCAAAAGCTCTTCTACCCAAAGCCAAGCCGGGTGAATCATACCAAGCGCGGATAGCTCCAAATCATCTGAACGTTTTCTTGAATTTAGCCAATTTGATAGCTAAGAACGAAACGAGACTGGAGGAAGCTGATTTGCTCTATCGCCAGGCAATCAGCATGCGAGCAGACTACACACAGGCTTACATCAACAGGGGCGATGTCTTACTCAAATTGAACCGAACAAAAGAGGCGCAAGAAGTCTATGAGCGGGCGTTGTTCTATGACAGCAACAACCCAGACATCTACTATAACGTAAGTATTAATTAGGGCTGTGCGAATGTTTGAAAATCTTGTATATTTGAGTTCGAATTTTTTTCTGATATTTGATTCGAACTCGAACCTAGAAACCTCAAAAACTCAAACTATCTGACCAAATATACAAAATTTCGAATATTCAGGAAAGAGACCAAATCTTCAAAAAAATTAACTGGAATGCAATCTTGCGTCTAATTGTTTAAAGCGATTAAATCAAAGATGAGTTTATTGCAGGGGCGGGAGACAGACAAAGATTTGAATCGGAGGAGATAAGAATATTCCTTTTTTCCATTGACGCAACACAGAAATAGGATCATCGTATTGAGCTGCACTGCCCCTGTCTTTACAATGTTGCTAGACTGTCAGTGTGAGAGTAGTAAAACTGAATAAAATGGATTTTCAGACAGTAAGCAGCAGCTTTATAGTTCCGCAACATTTCAATTAATTGCTCGTCATAAACTAAAGGAAACAAGAAATTAACTCCATTATTCAATGCATTAATTGATTCTTGATCCTATTATCTTTAACAGTAATTTCTTTTTTTCAAAATTGAATCCTCTTCTGCAATTGTGAGTGAATTATATTGAAGAACTTACACCCCTAAACAGTTTTAACACCCTTTATTAAAAGTTAATGCAGAAAAAAAGAATGTGACACTAATTCTGTGCAAAAAAATTGAATGCTAGAAAAAAAATTATTTATCCAATGTTTACCTGGACCAACGAAGAATAGATTTTGGTCAAAAATAGGTCAAAATATTTGATTTGATCTGATTCAGCATAAAAAAAACCATATTCGAACAGCCCTAAGACTATTAATTGAGTACATGATTGGCCCTTCTTCTTCTCACAAAGTGATCTAGCACCTACGAGTATCAAGTTCAGTAATTCCTCCGTAAGTGCCAAGTGGTAAGTCATGAATAAACAACAATCGAAAACACAGGAAAAAGAGGAAACAAGGCTAAAATACAAAATATAAAGGCAGGACGTTTCGGTACCTTACGGCACCATTATCAACTGCAAAAGAGAAATTAAAATAAAAACCAGCAAACGGCATTACATATACATATACATTACATATATACATTACATATACATATACATATACATTGCTGGTTTTTATTTTGAAACTCTTCACCTCTCTTAATTTAAAAATCTAAATTTTCGTTTATACTCCTATTTTCAAAATTACCTGTAAAGACGTTAATAGCCTGAGTCGCTGAATGTCTCAAAATTATAATAACTAACTAACTAACTAATTTCTTTTTTATTTTTAATTCTTTTTTGCAGTTGATAATGGTGCTGTAAGGTACCGAAACGTCCTGCCTTCATATTTTGTATTTTAGCCTTGTCTCCGCTTTTTTCTGTGTTTTCGATTGTCGTTTCCGTTTCGGGCTGCTTTTACATTCTCTTTGTTTTCCACTGTCATGAATAAATATATACTCGGACATGGCTTCCAGGACCAGTCTGTACGGCTGCAAGTTTACTTAGCTGAGGGAATGCTGCATCTGTATTCTTAACTTAGTCGTAAAAGGGTGCAAGTGTACGAAATCCATCAGTGAAATATAGCTTGATGTCTGTGGTTGATACAATTTTACTAATTTCAAGTTTATAACATTCCAGCTCGGTGTGGTGTTCTTGGAGCAAGGAAAAGCCTCTCAAGCCTTGGCATATTTGGATAAGGCTTTAGAGTTTGATCCGGAGCATGAGCAGGCGTTGCTCAACTCGGCCATTTTACTTCAGGAATTGGGCAGAGCAGAACTGCGAAAAGTTGCTCGTGAGAGACTTCTTAAGCTCCTTCAGAAGGTATTGAAAATTCATTTACCATAGTTGGCATCAGTAGAACGGAGCCGGTGAAAGCAAGGTTAAAATCAGTGAAAGGCATTGCATCAGCCCTTGCTAAATTAACCTGGCTCCTTCTCCTTTGAGGCCTTGTATTGCGCATTTGTAAAAGATCGCACGTCCCATAGTGAAAAATAGTCAGCAAACAATGATAAGATCGATGCTGGTGTTTTAAACTGCCTCGGGTCTGATCACGCCTTTGAGCAAATGCTCAAAATAGCTATAGCCACCTAAATTTCTCATAATTTTCAAGTTCGGATCCAAAAAAAAGTGATAACCGTTACTGAGTGTTTTTTTTCTATTTGAAGTAGAGATTTTTGAACCTTTAAATTGCTTACAGGATGGCACAAATGAGAGAGTGCATTTCAATTTGGGCATGTTGGCCATGGATGACAGGAACATTGCTGGAGCGGAGTACTGGTTTCGGCAAGCGATCATGTTGAAAGATGACTTTCGATCAGCACTTTTCAACCTGGCTCTTCTGTTGGCGGACGACCACCGACCCCTGGAGGCAGCTCCATTCTTGAATCAGCTGGTCAAATTTCACCCCGATCATGTCAAAGGCTTGATTTTGCTAGGGGATATTTACATTAATACAATAAAAGACTTGGACGCTGCTGAGAATGTGAGCATAAGTATTTTTATTCAACTTTTAAGTTGAATTGTAGAAGTAAAACTTGAGAAAAAGAGGCTTTTTGTAGACAATCTGTAAATTTTAAGAAACTTACGCATTTGCAGGAAGAACTTAGATCATTTTTCTACAAAAATTGATAGAGGATTAGGACTTACTTTTTTTTCACTTTTGTCTTATGTATGAAGGTGGTGCTGACATTGATTGAAAAATAACATACTCGATTGAACGCATAAAACATGGTGCGTTGATTGCATGAAAGCGCGCTTGTAACTTTTAAGACTTTCATTTTAATCCTGTAGTTTTTTATGACGCCTCAAATAGTTTTTTTCTTCTTGCGGCATTCTCATTTTGCTTTGATATTATAACTGCAAGTTGATTTTAGGATCCCAATTGTTAGCAAGAATCTATAGTTTACTTTGGTTAATAATTAATTATGTTTTTGCAGTGCTACAAAAGAATCCTTCAATTGGAACCAGAGAACATTCAAGGCCTACATAACTTGTGTGTTGTGTATGTGGAACGGGGCAATTTACATGATGCGGAAACTTGTCTTCAAAAAGCGCACAGACTAGCTCCAAATGAAGACTACATTGTGAGGCATCTAAAAATTGTGCAGAATAGAATAATGAAAATGAAAAAGGCGCCAGAAAGTTCTGTTGACAATTCTCCTGAGGCAGCAAAAAGTCAGGTTCGTAGAATTTCCATAGATTTTTTTCTCTGGAGAAACATTTGAGGACTAATATATAACAATAGCGGTCGCTGACATCCGCCATTTTTAGGGAAAACGCGTTTTTCGCATTCTGGAGCCCTTAGGAATGCCTGTGCAAAGTTTCGGACTTCCAGCACAATTTTTCGGCGAGATATAAACTGAAAACCATGTTATTTCTAGAAACAGCGGATATGAGAAGCCACTGTTCTTCCCGGCCAGCGCGGCAGTACACCGTGGAGATTCGAACGCACTTGCGATAACTGCCCGTACACCAGCCTTGGGCTGCAGCTGACACTCAAATGATACATATTGGGACTGTCTCGCCAGAATTGTTGATTTTTTCTCATTTGATAATTCGTTCTATATTGTTGTTGTAGAAGTTACAGACGGTTTAGTTTTTTGTTCAATTTTATTAAATAACTCAGCATTGACATACTACATCCTAACATTATATACCTTAATTTTTAAGTAATGTATCATAGACTTTTTCCAAATTTCAATTTTGAAATTTTGCAAGGCGATAAATTTTTCAATAACTCAAGTTCCCTAACTCTATTCATGTGGTGTAATGAATTACTTCTAACTTAAAAAAAAAGTTTAAACTTTTAAAAATTACCTGCTTTTAGGTATGAAAAGTCATTAAGATAAAAATCAAACTCTGTATTATATTAACCCAACACTCCAGCGAAAATGAAATTAAATGAATGAGAGCAATAATAATTAAATGTCCCCTTCTTCTTACAGGTTTGAACGAAGTTAGACACAAAAAATATTGTTTTTTTTCATCTTAATTCTTAAAATTTGTTTTAATAAGTTTGCATTTACTTCAAGTTTAAGATTTTGTTTCTTTCATTTTGAGCTCACAGTTTTTACTCTAGTTTTGTCAGTTTCTGGTCATTGCTTTTCCCTTTTTCCTAATTTTTTTTCCTTTTGTTGATTCTCAGGAATCTTCAAGTGCGGCTAATGCAGAAATGACACCCAACCACAATCCGCAAGACACAATCCTAGAGAAGCAAACCTCAGCGAAATCTTTCTCAAGCGACCAGGTAGAAAACAAACCAGCGGTCAAAAAAGTAGAGAAACAGCCGGCCTCGTAGCATACAACCTGCTCTCCTGCGTACAAACACCTGTTCAGACTGGAAGATAGTTTATTTTACTAAATAGCTCAGCAATTTTTCACTAATAATCCTTGACGTATTGGTAATGGTTTCATCAAATCAAGAACCTGTCAACTTGATCGTTGTCAAGTTCATTTTATTTTATTATGACTGAAAAAGTCAATGAGAATTTATTTTTTTAGAGAGTGTTTATTTTCTGTGAGCGTCTCGTGAGGGAAAAGTTGTGATTTTATTCAGTTGAATATTGCCTTTGCTTTGCGAACCCTGTTTTCATCTGATGAGATTTAGATATGCTTTGAGGCATGTCTATAAATTTTGTCGGTTTTGTAGATTCCCTCTATACCTTATTTCAAATTTATCTTTCTTCATTGATATATTTGTGAAATGAAAAGATATGAATCTGAGGGATGCTGTTTTTTGCACCAGTTTTAGTCGCTCTCAATTTCTCAGCAAAAAAAAATCAGTGACAGGGCCAAGAAATGGGGACTTTCACTATAGATGAAGAAAAATAATGTAGCTATATCACTAATTGAAAGAGTGAAATGAGTAAATTTCTGTACTAGACATTTTAAGTGAATTTCAAAGTTCGATGAGGCAAATCCAGAACTTGTAAAATTAGCTGTCAGAGTTTTCTCATACCTAATTTTCATCTAGAAAATTCAACATCAATATAAAGAGACTAAAGCTCTTGCTTACCTTCTCGAAGTTTCATCCTGAACTAATATCTTTAAATTCAATTTTTAATGGAAATCGAAATATCAACCAATACTACTTGGGTATAATTCTAAATTGAGGTACTTATCACTCCGGCTTTTGGAGCCAGCTCATCTCAAACAGCAATGAAATTCTTTATAAACCAAGCCACAGCTTACAATTTTGACTTAAGTGCATTTTAATTTTTCTCATTTTGTCTTCGACATCAGCATTTCTTAAATGATCAATTCAAGACAAAAATCAAATTTATTCTTGAGGGTGTCAAGAAACAATTAGCATTGAAAAACAGGAGAGCAACAATTTTTACTTGAATTATATTTCTACTTTGAAGTGAAGGATTCAAGCAAACACTGCAAGTCCCTATTCACCGTCCAATTTTGTCACTCCTATTTTTAGGATTGAACTCTCCACCGCCCTAAGGGGGGCTCAAATGGCCAATAAGTTTACTGCAAGCTTGCTGATTGGCTGATCTCACTAATTTTAAGCTTATCTTAACTCAATGTGTGGCTAACCAACCGATTCAGTGGCTGTGTCTTTTGTTATATTGCCGATGAATTACGCCGCTCTGAAAAATGATCAGTATTAAAATTGTTAATTTATTCAGGGTGAAACTGTGAAATATATCAGGTATCATATGACATGGTCTCTAAATCGGTCTCCCGTGGCTACCAATATTCCAGTCAAGCCCCTTTTAATTTAGTATTCATGCACTCAGCATTAATCAGATTTACGAGAGTTTTTTCTTTTTTGGAGCATCCCTTTTATTTTATCGTTCGAATTTTTCTCATTTTACAATGACTTCTACCTTTTTAAAACGATCGTTTAAAGGCGAGAGTCCGATTTGTTCTCATATTATGCCAACTTTTTTCTGGTCAGTCAAAGTAGAATAACTGTCTGTTCGTTAAATGACCCTTTCTCATCAATTTTTACAAAAATATCGTGAAATTTTAATGAATTATGCTTTGACAATTGACCATTTTCCGATCAAATTTTGTAACGGATCAATTTCGAAAATAGGACAAATTACTCTCAGCCATTTTGCACTAAGGAGAGAGGCTCCTAATATAATGCATGCTTATTTGCAGATTCCTCCTCGCGAAACAATACTCGAAAAATGTGTACATTTTTTCAAAGTTAAAACAAAAAAAAGTATTTGTCTAACTGAAGTAGACAGAAACGAACCTGTTTGAACTGAATTAGTTCTCTGTCTTTTTTGTATGTGCATTCCTTGTTCTTGTAAACATTCATTCCGATTTGTGATAAGCATTTCTCAAGCACTCTCTGAACTTTTCCTGCGCTGTGATCGTTAGTTTGTAAGGTGATCAATCTGAATTTTCTTTATTTTTAACTCCTTCAAATCCCATCTCAATTCTGTGTACTTACTCATTAATGTTCTACGCATCTTAGATTAGTTTTTGTCTTTACTTAATCTTTTTTTTGTCTACGTATGCTTTTCTGTATTTAATTTTAGGTTGCGTTGATCAAAATGTAATTTAAGTTGACGGAGAAGTTTTTCTACTTCAAGTGATTTTTCAGTTTTACTTCACTGAGGACGTTTTTTCGCCTTGTGGGAAATACAATAATTAAGGCATGTCCATCTTGCATCTCTCCAAGGACAACGCACTCAATGCCAAGAAATTCAGCTGAAGTTCGTAATTGTTTGATATGATGTACCTTAAGATCTCCTGAGCGTGATTTATTTTTTAAAATTAAACATTGTAAATGCGGATCTGGAGACAAAAGGATCTAAATTTTTCCGCCCTCTTACACATGTTTCCTAATGGAGGTATGGGACTGCTGCTACATGTGTGTGAACGCTGCACTGCACGCTCTTTTCATTGAGAGGAATTTGATTCCTTTCGTTTGCTATTTTCCTGGCTGGCAAGGGAACAAAATATCTCCTCTATATTATATGTAAAATCTGTATCTCTTCTATCATATGTAAAACTGCCAAAAAATGCACTTCTCCTCCTGGCTTTTCTTGAAGTCGTCACATCTAAAGTTCTATTTTAAGAGTAGAGTTTGCTCGGGAGGCTGTAAAGAACATAATTTAAAATTATGTCAAAAAGCCGGCATCAAATTTCTTGCTATTGTGTGTGTAGTCCTTTTATGCAGATCTTTTCAACTAAGTTTATGGCTGTACACTGAATCTGCATGCTAGCTCCCAGTAATGGATTGTATGTAAAATCTTTAATAAATTAGGGTAGGTTTTGCTGAAGTGTAGAAAATTCTCCTCTGTGATTTTAAGTCTCTTATAATTTATCCTAAATCCTGTATACTTGCGAGAAAATAAGAAATCCGTAGCAATGGGTCAGTCTCAAAAGTCATAAATGACGTGTATTGTATGTAGTACCTAGCCTCTCACCATGTCTGGATGTCTTGGGGTCCACTGTAAGTTTGCAGTTGCAGTTTTTATGAGCAGGAAAAAATTGTGTCTGAACAAGGTTTTTATGTCTAATATAAATAGAAATTTTAGACTCTGGAAAACCATTGCACTTTTCAATGCAAAATATTCTCCTAAAGTTTTATGTAGAAAATACCATCTGTACAAATCTCATCATTATTTTTGGTAAGTGACACAAGTTGACCTGCTCGAACTCTGCTCGAAATATATAATCATAATATTATACTTTCCACGGTCCTGCTGCAGACCATTTCATGTTAAGTTTTGTGGATTAAGAATTTTACCTCCCTAATTCACCAACATAGAGCTTCAAACCCCTTTCTCATATGATTAGCCAAGTGTGATGCATAAAAATTCATTTCATGTTGTCTAGGTAATTTCTTCTTGTGTTTTTAGCCAAAAGCTAAGCGATATTAATGACCCTGAAGTTTCAATGAATTTTCATCGATTTCTGAAGAATATTCTGAAAAAATTTCAAGACTATAAGATTTCGTCTTTTGTTAAAATTAAAGAATATACAGATAAATATTAGAGGAAATTCGTCAAGCAATTAGGCTAACTGCCCAGAGTCATCTCTTTGATGCGGCCAATCTGCCGGTCATCTAACATCAAAGTCATGACTTTCCAGAACATCTGGGCAAATATTCTTGAAAGATTGATCTTGATTCACCCTTAGATCATCCAGTCCGCATCTTTTATTTCTTCTGCTATTCGAACCCCTGTCCCATATTGAATTTTTCTTGATTTTTGCTCCGCCACCTGCAATCTATTTTGGCAGCAAAAATTGCTTCATATGTGCTATTGCAATGACAATCATGAGATTCATTTATCTTCTGTTTCCTGAAAAATTTTGAAAGCATCGTTTTTACTTTTACAAATTTGTGATGTTCTCCTTTCCTCATTTTGTAAATACTTGCTTATAGAACTGTTTTCCCCCTAATTTCTGTCAATTTTTTTTCTAAAATTATGGCTTCCATGTTCGGACATTTTCTCCACACTTTCTCGGCCTGCACTTACAAGACAATTAATTGCAATTGTTTTCTTTACAGCCTCCTTGGATCGTTCATGAATCAAGGAAAAAAAACAGAATTGCCCTTAAAAACTAGTAAAAGAAATCCATTACAACCCCTATTATTATCAACAGTCATTTCCAACTTGGGGCTGTATCTGATTGCTTACTGTAATGGGCCTATAAATGAGGTATGATTTAAAGCTCCAAGTAACATGTTTTCTTTTCAAAATTTCATGTGAAAAACAAAAAATAAAACGAAAAATTCGAAAATCAATCTGAAAAATGATACATTTTCACCATTAGTAGGAATTAGTATTAGGCAAAAATACAAATGACATCATTCGTATTTTCCATCCTCTGTTTGAGCTGTATTAAAAATACTTGTTAATAAAATTATAAGGAATTGATTTCCAAGTCTCCCGTTTTGTGAATCGTTTTCTACGCAGGATTTTGAAGAGAAAACATGTATCAATTCTTTCTATTTTGGACCTTGTCTAGTGGCTCATTTGGACGTATTTCTATCAAACGGAACTATGTGCATTAAGACATGAGCCCTGAGACCCATAAGAATGTATGCATTACAGGGCTCACCTCACAATGCACATAGTTCCGTTTGATAGAATTATGTCCATTTCATGGTGTGGATGAGAAAAATGTTTTTCTGCGCATTGATTTCTCTTTGATTTTATAATTGCAATCTAATTTTAATTCAATAACTCATTTTTTGGGTCAAAATCCAATTTTAATTAAATTCCTTTCAATCTTTATAAGTACTTATCTCAGCAAAAATGGAGATGTCTTCATTGAGAGAGTTTATTTTTAGGGAAATTATTAAGTTATGGGAATCAAGAGTCAGGTCTTGATGATGAATCAGAATGGGCTGAGTTATTCTGGGCTAACTTTTGGTCTTAAAATGTTTTGTCGAATCAAATGTGATTTCAAAACTTCTGTTCGACTGTGTTGATCATAGATCTTGTCTTGCCCATATTGCAACATTTCCGATCAAGGCTCTCGTTCCTTCTTTCATACCTACTTTTCAAGTTTCTTTATCCTGTCTGACGTTTGCTGTGATTATGTTTGACAATAAGGAAGGGAAACTTCTTTTCATCCCTCATTCCTCCTTCTGCCTTGAATATTTTGGACTTCCTTTCCAGGCTCTGAAGTTATTGAATCAAAAAATTTTCAGCTGGCCGTATGCATTTTACAACTGACTTTCCTTGATATTCCGATTGTTGCTGTTAACCGAACCACGTTCAATTTTCCTCAAAGCAGTGGTTGAATTCTGGAGAATTTTATTGATTGAACAAAATTGTTTAAGTCTACATTTCAGTTTCCTTTTTTCAGGAGTATCCTAAACTTCTACCATTAGAGACGGTTCTTCATGTCTTGCATTCAAAAAATTTGGTTTTAGTTTTTAAGGGCTGTTTCATTTAATTGCCTCTTATGTCAGTGAATTCATGAACCCTCTTGTTTGAATTTTTTGAGTGCAGTCTTTTGTCACAGCTAACTTACGTACTAAAGAGGTGAAAACTTCAGGTCCGTAAATTTCTTACTCAAAAGTCACTTTCTTGTTTTATATACATTCCATTCTCGGTGCTATACATTTTTTTATTATCAATTTTTTAAAGCATTTTCTTTTAGTATTTTTGGTTTACATATTTTAATTTTAATTTAAGTATTTGTCATTGTTTTTTAATTTACTTATTCTTCATTTATTTTACTGTATGTGTACTTTTAACTTACTCTGATCAAATTGATTTTTCCTCACAGAGCCGGGTCTCAACTTCGCTTTCTGCAAAAACATACAATGTTAAGCATAAGATCTTTTTTATGATCACCTTTTATGAGTTCTTATAAATGCTAAAATTTGTCACAGTATTATTCTTCTTTCCCTTGTTAAGTTGATCAGCATCTTATCATAATCTTGTTGAGCCAACATGATATCAGTATGATAAGATGCCGGCAGATAAAATCAGTATAATATCTTACTGATACCATACTAACATCCTAGAGGAGAATTGGCCAATTTACATTATGATATGCTGATCGACTTTACCAGGGATTTCAATTATCATTACCTACTAGCGTAGAGTTCCCGCCAAATAAGTTTACGAACTTTTAGACTGCGACAGAAGAATGTGTGACGTCATTTTCGGAAAGTCAGTGCAAGAGCAAAGCTAGGTGGCGGATATCTTCTGTCACAGTCTAACAATGCGTAGACTTAGTTGGCACGGGCTCTAATGGCATACAGAAATTTTACAGCCTGATTATTACTTTTGATTCTTACTTGATAACATGAACGATTGGATTTCTTCCTCCTCTTTTTAAATTTTCTATTTCTTTCCTTTTCCTTTTTAAATACCTAATCTCTGCCCAGTTCTGTGTTACTTCTAAGCAAAATTCACTCCCATCATTCTGAATACAGAGACAACTTTCAGTTTTTTATTCAATTAGATCTTTATTTTAGTTAAACATTTTGTGCCTTGTGAAACCATTTTCACTCGAAAGCTAAACTTATTGTTTACTAATGAAAAATTGTGTTTGTGTAAAAAATTTATTAACGACACTCCTGGTCTAGTTGACTTGTTATAGATATTTTACAAAGTCTAATCAAAAAAGTTTTTATTGTAAATTGAGATTGTACCATTAAATGATTGATATTTTTTTACAAACTGTAAGTAAACTACCCGTATGTGCTAAATGTTTAAAAGTAGTAACTTATGTTCTAGATTTATATGTTTTAATTTTAAAATGACCGGATAAATGTGTTATTTGTCTCAAGAAATTTTGCTTTTCATTTTTCACCTCTCCAAAGTCTAGCGTTTTTCATCATCATTAACAAAGAGTCAAAAAGTGGTCAGAAAAGCCGTTTTTGACTATTTTATCGACTCAGGAAGCCCCTCCGAGAGTCGGGACTGTTCGAAATTAATTCCACGAGTCCAACTACATAGGATGCGACTGAAATCTTGAAATTTTTTTCTCAGTCCAAATTCTAGAAAAATCGACACTAAAGAGGACTAAAGAGCGACGCCAAGAATGGCACAATTTGGGCTAGCGGGGATTTTTCTGAAACCGGGCCCAAACGATACCTTATGATACCCTAAAACTCTGGTTAAAATTTTAGCTTGAGTATACGCACAGTTTTTGAGAAATGAGGGGGCAAAGTTGCAAATTGCCATCATTCTGGACAGCATTTCTATAGCAAAAAGACAGGAAAAATGGACGAAAAAGTTACACCTTTGATGGGTTTCGGTTGTAAATGTTCTCTTTGGGCCCCCAAGCATTTAACTGTGTTCAGTTTCAAAAATTCTGGTCGCACAGTGGTCCAAAATGGGGAGAAATCGTCGACAAATCAGGATTCTTTGTCAAATTTTGAGAAATGGAAATAAAATTGTCGGTCTGCTGCAGTTTTCATGGCTAACAATGTTCTTATCGGTCCTCAATGCATGAAATTGTGTTCAGCTTCACAAATGTACATCGCACAGTGGTGAAAAATGGGGGAATTAGTGGACAAATTAAGATCCTCTGTTAAATTTTTTAAAAATGAAGTGAAACTGTTGGTCACCAGTAGACTTTATATCCCGGAAAAATTCATGTTTTTAATTTTTTTAATTATTACTTCATGTCAGACTGTATTGTTATAGAATAGACTTTGTGGCATTATCTCAATAAAATATGCAAACTTTCAGAAATTTAAAAAAAAGAAGGAAAAATGGAGAAAAAAAATTAAAAAAAGATTTAAATAGTCAAAAAAAAAGCTCTGGGAGCCTCGCCGAGTGTCAAGACCGTGCGGAATCGATTCTTCGCCTTCAACTACGTAGGATGCGACTGAAATCTTGAATATTTTTCTCAGTCCTAAATCGAGAAAAATCGACACGGATAACATGGACTAAATTTTTCGGGTCAAAATGGAAATTTCGCCTATAGGGTCGGAACCAAGTAAGCTCGCTTGGAATTGACCCTTGACCGATTTCTGTATCGAATGTGAGGTTTTTTTCCAAACACTATTCTGCTATCATTTCTCTTAATTTTCCCGATTTTTGGGTTTAGAATGATTCTTTAGACTCATGCGCAGGGGCTTTCGTCCTTTTTCCCGCTGAAAATTCAAAATCTGCCGAGATTTTTTTTCTAAAAGATAAAAAAAAAAGCGACAAAAATGTATCCAAAAAAGGTTTGCAGGGGGCGAGTCTATGGTACGTGTACACGTAAAATTGCGAAAAATCAAAATCTTGACTGATCCTTTTTTCGAAATACGCGATTTGAGATTTTCATAGTAAATGCAACTTTTCCACTGATTTTGATCCGATTTTTTATTTATTCGTACATTGAATCGGTGTTGATCGGTTAACGTTTTCATTTTTCGTTCGATTCATGTCGATCATACATACCCTCTCGTTACACGCACACTTCCTTTCATACCCTTATTTTTTTTTAACTGAAAAATTCGTCTTCAGCTGCGTCTGCGGCAATTGTTGTTACGAATATGTTGTGCGTGCTGGTTTCAGGTCATTACATACACGAATCTCTGAAGGCGTTTTATATGCGAGAGCAATTCGCCTTCAGCTGCGTCTGCAGCAATTGTTGTTACGAATATGTTGTGCGTGCTGGTTTCAGGTCATTACATACTCGACTCTCTGAAGGCGTTTTATGTGCGCAAGTGGCGTACCCTGTTGGAGAACTGGCGAATTGCTCTCGCACACAAAACGCCTTCAAAGAGTCGAGTATGTAACTACCTGAAACCAGCACGCACCGCATACTCGTAACAACAATTGCCGCAGACGCAGCAGAAGGCGAATTTTTCGGTTAAAAAAAAGAGTTTGAAAGGAAGTGTGCTTGTCAGGAGAGGGCATGTATTCGATCGACTTGATTCGAACAAAA